CCGATATCCCTTCTAGCCAGGAAAGCCAACTAAGCATGGAGGATTTTCCATCTGTAAGTTTGATTCCTATTAGCTTTGTCACACATGTTATTTATCAATAAGATTGAAAAAAAAAATAATAATTGTATCATTTTGTTATACAGGAGATCTCAGCAGTGGAAGCATTAGTGTACTATTTGCACCACAGCCTAAAAGAATCAGGTTCTAAATGGAGTGTTGATTCAAGAAATGAAATGTGCCGCCTTACTTTGCTAACAGACAATGAAAATGTGGCCGTTGAACGGGCAGTGGTTTGGTCCCCCAATGAAGGGACAAAAATATTTTTCAATAACAACCAACTGCCAAAGGACAACTTTATTCTGACCATGCCTCAGCCAGATCAGAGCAAGATATCTGATCTTGCCCAATATCTCCAAATTCTCACCACTGTAGTTGAAAGTGTGAAGCTGTGTGAAGGAGTAACTACTTACACTGATTCCTGGAACGCTGCTGAAGAACTCGGAATGGGGCAAATTGACAAATGCAGCTCTCAAAGTCCACGATATAGAAGCAAAGACTGCACGTTAGTGTACATGGAGGCAAAGAGGTGTGAAGCCTGTGAATGTAACAGACTAAGTTTCAAACAAAAACAAGCTAGGGCCCGCCCTTCCGTCGAACCGAGTTGCCAGCTCCGCTTCGCTGCGCCGGCAACTCGGTTCGACAGGGGGCCGGCCCAGCTTGGCCTGCCGGCGGCCTATTCTCGGGCCTTCGGCCCTCGCATCAGACCCAACTTGGCCAGTCGAAGGCCCGGGCCTTCGGCCCGCTCGCATCACACACACCGTGAGCGGGTAAAGCAAAGTTATCGATGTACCATCGTGACTTAGGCCGCCCTTCCATTCACAATATGCAATAGTCCTTACACTTTTTACTCCAACTGACCTTAGAATATGCCCATTTCATTTGTCTCTTCGCCCTCATTCCGAAAATACCCATATTTGCCATGCTACTGCAACTCCTTGCAATAGAGGCACAGCAGGAGCGCAAAACGAGTCCGTCGCACTTTTTCCCATAACTCATGAAGGCGGGCTCCTGGACCCCCCTTCCGACCCCTCGTTGAAGAGGTCTTGCCAAGACCTATCCGAAACTTAAGTAAAAATTTTCAGTCGGTCGACCCCTTTTTTCAAGATCCTGATGTGACTAATAGACGAAGTCGGGCTCCTGGACCCCCTTTCCGACCCCTCGTTGAAAAGGTCTTGCTGAGACCAATCGAAATCTGCAATAAATTTTTTAGTCGGTCGACCCCCTTTTTTGAAGATCCTGATCTGGCCAACTTGTAAAAGCGGCCGATGGGGTCGGGACCAGGTCCATTCATCTTGTCTCGTCGCCCGATTCCAAAAATACCCCTATGTGCCCTGCTAGCACCAATAATGGCGGAAATCCCCCTCCCGCTCATGTAAACCATGATGCACCTGCAGCAGCCCTTGTGCGACCCGGACGGGATTTGCACCACCGGATTATTTGTTTGGACGGTACTCCTGAAGTACCCTCCAAATCTGGTTACTCTAGCTCAACTCCTTCCTTGTACACAGACGCCAACAACAACAACAACAACAACAACAACAACAAAAACAACAACACACAGACACAAAGGCAAATGCATAGGCCCTCCCCTATTTTTTGAATAGAAGGGCGGGCCAAAAATGGAGGGATGATCGGGCTGAAGAATCAGACTTGTCAAAAATCAACAACAGGTATTTGTTGAGAAAAGCACTTCTTGCTAAAACAAAGTCATTGGCAAAAGAAAAGAAAATTGCAGGCAAGACTATAAGATATTATAAAAAGAAAGTGCGTCAGATGATAAAATCTGAAAGTATTGTAGTAGACCAACATCTCAGCAAGGATTTCTTTGATGTAATGAAGCAAAATGTAACTAAAATGACACCTATCCAAAAGTTATTTTGGAGTGAGCAAATGAAAGCCATTTCAAAACAATCGAATCCCAGAACAATGCGGTGGAATCCAATGATGATTAAGATTGCTCTGCATCTCCAGAGCTTATCCCCGACTGCTTATGAATACTTGAGAGAATCTGGACTTCTACAACTACCCTCTCAGAGGAGACTGTATGATTTTTCTCACTTCACTCAAGCCAAGGAAGGCATTCAGCAAGCAGTCATAGATTTATTGTCCGAGAAACTGGAAAAAGTAATAACAGAAGATTACCAAAGATATTTTAATTTACTATTTGATGAAATGAGTATCCAGTCTGGATTAGTGGTGACAAAGTCTGGGGACATTGTTGGTTTCGTAAACCTGAGTGAAATTGAACAGAGTGTTGCAGATCTTGAAAATCAGTTGGCTGGTGAAGGAGAAATCAAGAAACAAGAGGCCAAGAAAGTTCTTGTGTTTATGTTGCAAGGTGTATCTCTGGATGTTCATGAAGTTGTTGCAATTTTTCCTACAACAGAATTGTCTGCCGAGCAGCTCTACACAAGAGCTTGGGATGTGATTTTCAACCTTGAAAGCCGCAACATCAAGATTTTGACTTTGATTGGTGATGGAGCTGGTTGCAACAAAAAGTTCTTCAAAATGCATGCTAAGTACGATCATTCAGAAGAATTTGTCTACTCCACCAGGAACATTGCATGTGGAGAAGACAGACCCATTTTCTTCATGATTGATCCTCCTCATCTGCTCAAAACCATTCGGAACTGTTTTTCTAACTCCCATGGTCACTACAACACCCGAGCAATGTGGAAAGACGGAGAGGTCATAAGCTGGGCAGCCTTGGAGGCGCTTTTGAATGCTTCGATCAAAGACAAATTTAAAAAGCACAAGTTGACATGGGCTCATGTGAAACTCACAGCATTCACAAGGATGAATGTCAAATATGCCACCCAGACCATGAGCAACTCAGCCAGCCTAAGCCTTTCTGACTACAAGGATGATGAACGGTTCGATGGACTTGTGACTTCACAATTATTAATGTTTTTAAAAGAAGTCAATAAATTTTTTGACTGCCTGAATGGCTCTCATGATCCTGATGGCAAAAGGAACAAGAGTAACAAGAACCTTTTGCCATATAAATCTGTAAATGATGAAAGACTTACTACAACTCTGAAGAAAGAAGTATTAAAATTTTTCCAAGATTGGCAGAAAAGTGTTGAGAATAGGGAGGGAGAGTTTACAGCTGAAGATAGAGAAAAGATGACCATTAGCAGTCAGTCCTATGAATCACTTCATATAACTATCTTTGGATTTTGTGGTGCTGTCAAGTTTCTGCTGGACTGTGGTGCCCCTTCAATTGATGCAAAGAAATTCAACCAAGACAAATTAGAACAATATTTTGGAATTCTGAGAATGTGTGGAGGAGCTAGCAACAATCCCACATTACAAGGTGTATTACAGAAGAGCCTGGCACTCACAGTGCAAAAGGGCGCAGCTCTCCCAGGCAAGAAGGGCAACACAAGAGGAACCCGCCAGCTTGTAATTGATGAAGAACCGTTACCTTGCAGACCCAGAAAATAAAATATATTTCTGTACAAAAGCCCTATGTTTAAGTTTGTATTTTGTTAGTACTGTTATATTTTTATACACTGAATCATGGCAAAACTTAAGTTGTTCATTAGAATAATCTCTTTCTGTGTGTACTGTATTTGTAAACTTATTAACATGAACACTTCAACATACTCAATTGTATTTTTTATTTAGGTTTCTTTCAACATGTAGAAACAATTTTAAAAGCATTGAATTACAATCATTAGTAACATATCTTACTTGTCAACTTATTATGTAGCCACAGGACAAACTGCTAATTTCTTTTGAGATCAGTCCTAAGAGCATACTTATTTACTCTGCCTCTGTTTTCTTCTCGCAGTCGATTAACTTCCAGCTTCATAGAAAGATTAACTACAATTGAAATTACATCTTTCATAAAAACCAGTGACTCAACTTCAGAAAAAAAAAGCATGGTCAAAGAAAACCATGCATCAAGCAATTCAATAGATTTCAATACAACATCAACAACTTTATCACAATTAACGGATTCATTCCCTTTAAACAATGATTCAATAATCTCTTCTACTTTAGTAAAAAAATCAACACAACTATCACTTAGTTTGAGCTTGACATTTCCACTTTTATCTTGTTCCCATGATTGATTATCCAAAACCATATCTACTGTAGGAACTTCACTTGAGTCACCACTTTCAATAAATTTCTGCCTAATGCATGCACATCTTGAGAGCCAAACCTTAGAGCCACCTTTGAGACCTCTCTTATAGTACTCCTGAAGCAATTTTCTCACATGTATCACAAAAGCCTCCCTTTCAATATCACTCATTTTTTCAACACTAGCTTCATTACATGTTGGCTTCTTTTCCTTCATTTCTCTAAAGACAAACTGAGCAAGCTTATCGACTAACTTCGAACACAGTCGAAAAAGGACCATGCCCGGAACATGCTGTGGAACACTAACAGTTATATTGAGCCAGTCAAAAGAACTCAACAGTTGGGCATAAGCCTCCCTGTTGTTTAAAAGACGATTCAGTTCTTTTAACTCATCTCCATACTGATTAGATGGAAAAATTTTTGTTGGCATGGAAAATTTTTCTAGGAATGGATCAGATATTTCAGATAAAAAAGTTTTCCAGTTTTCAGACTCTCTTGAGTTCAGAATGGCTTCTATATATTCTCTCTTCTCTTTACCAAATTCCAATTGCATTTCTTCAAGTGTTGTCACAACCATGTCTTCCACCAATGGCTGCAGAACAACAGATGAAGGTCTACGTGAGTTGGCATCTACAAAAGAAAATTAATAATACAATAAGAGACTGATACTGTGTATAAATAACAAAAATATGTAACACAATGTATTCAATGGAAAGCGAAAAAAATGAGTGAAAAGTCTACACAAATAAAAATGAGACATTAAATTACTTCTACTTACCAGCAATTTTGTGACTCATAACATGTCTGCGGAGCCCATGCTTGGTCTTGAGAGGTTTCTGACACACTTCACAGATGAGTGGTTCTGAGGGTGGTGATGGTGTGACAATCCACTGTCCAGCAGAGACATGTGAAGCTTCCACACTCACTCCACTCGCTGGCAACTGGGTATCTTCATCAAGGTTCATCTCCACAGTTGCATTAGCTTCCAAATAAATTTCATCATCTAGTGCATGCTGAGAAAAGGAAAACAAGCAATTTCAGACTGCGTGTGAGTTTATCCACAAACAATAAGGCCCTTAATTGTATTTATGTACCTACTTCACTTGTTGTTGATTGAGCAGCTTTTTTCTTAGAACTTCCCTTTCTATTCTTTTTTGGTTTTACTTGCTTTGGTGTTGCTCGTTTCACTGTCACTTGTTTTGATTTGACAGACTTTGCCTGGAAATTGGATAAAAACAAGGAACAATAATACACTTACATTGTGTGACTGGCTGTACGTTTTACACTTAATATAGCAATAATAATGTTACCTTTGTTGATTTAGTTTTGCTTTTACTTGAACTCTCCCTTACTGCACCTTCTTTTCCTGTACTAATCTACACAAAGAAAAGACTTTCTTAGGCTAAATCTCACTTCAATCTTAGTAACTATTCAAACACAAAAATACAAAACCTGAGGTTTAGCAGTGGCTACAGATGTGGGTGGGGGCTCGACTGGATTTTCAACGGGCTCTATAACTTGAGTCTTGCGTGCTGCCCTTGATCTAGCTCCTCTCTTACTTGTTGTAGGATCCAATTCAGGCAGTGTTGAGTCCTTTGTAGAGGCACCACTCTTCTAAAATAATATCAAAAATAAATTTTATTATCTACACAAAGAAAAAGACTTTCTTAAGCTAAATCTCACTTCAATTTCAGTAACTAATCAAAAACAAAAATACAAAACCTGAGGTTTAGCAGTCGCTTCAGATGTAGGTGGGGGCTCGACTGGATTTTCAACGGGATTTTCAACTTGGGTCCTGCGTGTTGCCCTTGATCTGGCTCCCCTGTTACTTGGAGTGGGATCCAATTCAGGCAGTGTTGAGTCATGTTTAGAGGCACCACTCTTCTAAAAAAAAATATCACAATTATAATTTTAAAATACAGGCAAAAGCCAGAGATAAACTACAGTAAAATTGTTTACCTTACTGGATCGTAGGTTTTTGGCCATGATGTAGGGTGAGTATCCACAGATAACAGCACTGAAAAAGACAAACAAAAGAAATCAAATATATTATAAAACTTACATTTTAAACATAAAGTCAATCTGGTTTTGTTATTTGCAGTGTAGCAGAAGGGAACGAACAGGGCAGACCACACTAAGCAGCAGCCAAACAGAAAACAAAAATAAATGTTTGGAAAGAGGGAAAAACATGAAAAGGGCGAAAGGGGCCATCAGCGCCAGAAAGGCTGTAGGATTTAACTGGCAAAGAAACTTTAGTGCGGTGAAAGGAGGCAGAGGAAATCAATTCATAACCTGTACTCGAAGCATCGCTTTGCACCGCGGATTAGATGTATTTAGCGTTTCCCGAGCGGTCCGACAGATGCGTTTTTCGGAAGATGAGTCAAGAAAGCAAGGCATGCGCTGTAATTCAATCCTTTTCTCACCTCGGAAACGACTGAGCTGCACAACAGGTGTTCTCAGGTACGCCAACAAGATCCCTACACTCGAAATCGCGTGTTCTGTCGTCTGCCGCTCGGCTCGTCTCTCTGCTGGATCATCGTTCCTCTGAGTTTGCCATACCGCCCGACCGTTCCGAGAGCGTCTGCTACGGCTCCGTTACAAGCAAGTTACATTTTGTTGTGCAGTACTTTAGAAAATAGTTTTTCCCTCAATGTGAAGGCATATTAGCACTCACCAAACCTATTGTCAGAGCGGGTATAAGTGGATTTTCCTGAGAGGTAAGTGAATTTTGCTCTATAATGTGCAATGTAAAATGGTGTCAATCTGTCGGCTCGACCAACCTCTGACTAATGCAAAATGTTTGAGTATATTGGCGCTCTTAAACGTTAAAACGGCTGCTGCAGATCGAAAGAGCGTACATTTTTACATGGGATAGGCCTATTTTTGGCCGCCTGGTTGAACGTTTAACAGAACTGGCATCTAATAAAGACTTGGGTGCCGTGGCGGCACCGATTTTCCAGACACAGTATTTACGCTAGTACTTTTTACTGGATGAATGAATCGCTTTGAAACCTTTTGCCAAGTTTCTGTTAGATATCAACGAGCATTCGGCTCGCGGGACGTATCTACGAAAAACGCCTCTAAATAGACGAAAACTTGTTATTTCTGTGACGACTGGCGCCATTCTTTCGACATGTTTCCGATTCCGGACTGGTTTTCTAAGCCGTCGTGGCACCTAGACACATAATTTTGACGTACAAATGCGGCAAATTTATTAACCTTTCCAAAAATGTATAATTTGTTTGGGTTTTGTCCGAAAACATAGTCACAATCGAACGAAAAGTGGCGCGGTGCAAGGTCCCGCCGGCCAGACCGCTCGCGCGCACTAGTAACGCGCATGGGACCAGGCCGGCCCTAGGCCGTTTCCACCCCCTGGTTAGAGTGCTCAGGGAGCTCACAAGGTTCATTTCGTGTTGCTTTGTTTTCAAGTCGGTAAGGGGTGGTGTTCCAACGTCAATCAAGACTTCTGAATTTGAAGCAACTAAAAAGTCTGATGATATGGAACCCTTGTACACAATTGAGGTGGCAGAGCACAAAAGGCGAGGGGAGAACAGCTTCCCACATTCATTGTACAAAATTTGACCACATTCCACATTCAGGAGGCAAAACGCCTGTAAGTAGGCAACATGTGTGGCAAAAACGCGAGAAATCGTGGACATTCTTGCACATTCACACAATCATTGTACACAAAATTTTACAGTGGGTCACCCCTCGACAAAAGGGATGCTGACGGCGCATGCACCGTCGTCCTGGACCGCCGTGAATTCAAGCTGTGCCGCGAGTACCTGAAACTAAGGAAGGCCTTGGCTTCAATACCTAGATTCAATAATGATATCTTTCTTGTTGGTCTCAGTGGTGGGCCTGTGGTCAAGCTCGACGTGGACATTCAGGAGTGGGCCGAGGAAAACCAAATCCAAGGCCGCTTCAATGGGGAACTCCTCCGCAGAACCACAACCACAATGGCCAAGGACATGGAACCTGATGTCTCGGACGGTGCAGCGCGCATCCAAGGCCACACAAGGACCACTGCGGAGAAAGTTTACGTCAACAAGAATACGAGCAGAACCCTCAAAGACTTCGGGAACTGAGCGATTCTCACGTTTCGGGGTAGTTTTGGCGTCTCTGATTTGCCGAAAGTGAGAAATATCCAATTAAGTTGTTCTGATTATTGGGGTCCTGGATGATACTAGAGTTATGGCAAATGGTATTTATAGTAAAGACCTTGTACTACCTTCCTAAAAACATGAGCCATAAGGTATTCCCATACGTTTTAGTGGGTGTTTTGATCACGGAAATTACGTTATCACGGAAGTTACAAAGTGTGAAAATCGGCTTTAACGGCTGACTCGGGCTTGCTGTGGCTTAAAAGTCGTGCCAGGGTCAAATGATACTCTAAGCCCGACATTTAAGCGGAAAATTTTTTCACCCAGTGCTGCTGCAACATTGGGTAAAGGGTGCCACGGAAGTTACAGGTAATTGTTGATACACGCCATTTTATAATGCTCTAGCCCGCTTTGAGACCGTGTACAGCATCTTAGATTTCCGCGACCCATGCAATTATATCCCAGGGACTCCACTTTGATGGCTTGTGTCATGGAAAGTTAAAAGTTTGGCTTGGGGAGAAGTCCAGAGCTGCCTTTTCGAAATTTGTGTAGTGAAATTGAATATACGGAGGACATTTTTCGTTGCAGCATAAGTACCTTTGAAAGAAGTCTGGCGTTTTGGTCTTCGGTTGAAATCAGCTCGAGACATGCCAAGCTTCGAATCCCCATCGACAGTTGGCAGCATTTTCGAACCCCACCGCCACACTGGGGGCGGGAAGTTCGAGTATGTTCTCTTTGGACAATCACGGAAGTTACATTTGGGGTATTCCAAACGCTACGTAGACCAATCCAACGAACGTGAACTTTTCGAAATGTGTGCGTTTAGTGGGCAATGGCCCTCCCTAACATCGGAAACAAACCCCATGTCGATATCTGCGCTCGTTTGGGCACAGGAGTCAGAAGAAACGAAACTACCCCGAAACGTGAGAATCGCTCAACTACAGAAATATGATCAATGGCCAAGGAAATCATCGAGACCATTGTTGAAGAGGACGCAGACAAGTTCCCTTTAAAGGAAGACCTTAACGACACCCTGAATGAGAAATATGAGAAAATGTGGTCCTCTCAGATGAGTGGTACAATACCCTTAGGGATGCTTGGACAAAGTACTCAATCAAAACAAAAATCGCCCAGTGGAAGAACCACATTGAAGCCCAAGAGATCTCCTTTGACGAAGTGAAAGAAATGACCAATTCAAGAACTTTCGAACTTTTTAAATATCCGTCCAAACCCATAGCATGTGTCGACATTTTTTCTTTGTATTGTCGAGGCCAATCTGTTTCCGTTCAGAGATGTCAATTCGAACAACTTTGAAAATTTTCTCCCCAAAGGCCACAATTTACCGTTAACCAAGTGTCCCATTTTTACCCCAGGGGTGTCCCATTCTTCCCCAAAGTGGTGTCCCATTCTTACCCCACCGGAAAATTCTACGATTGCAAGTTAACGAATGCATTGATGTCAAAATGAGTTCGTGGATCGAAATCCTCGTTCTTTTAGCTTTCCAAAACACTATAATTGGCTGAGCGATAGCGAAGCCTGTTACTCCAGTGCGGTTGAAAAGTTTTGTCTGTCTGTCTGTCTGTGTGTGTGTGTGTGTGTACACTACTCCTCCTGAACGGCTCGGCCGATCTGGCTGAGATTTCGCAGGGTTATTAGGTATGTTCTTGGCTCGGCACACGCGAAATTTCACCATCCTAGCTCAACTGGTTCAGTTTTTATAGCCGAAAAACACCTAAAAAACGGCGAAAAATCGAGTTTTCTGTCGGTAGACCTCTCCTGTCTGGATGAAAGGGGGGTCTGGGGGCGGAGCCCCCTAGCCACGACAAGTTGAAAAGTTACAAGGGTCAAGATAATGTAATTTGTAGATGAAGCACCTCTATGTAGAATGAAGGGGGTCTTGGGAGCGGAGCCCCCCAGCATGCAACAGTTCAGAAGTAACTGATGATGGAGAAGCATTGTCTGCCGAAGGCAGCCTAGCGCCGCAGGCCAAGGTAGGTACGCCAGGCGCGGATTGGAGAAACAGGCAGCGACACATCGCGAAGCCTGTTACGACAAGACGCGGTCTGGCGTAAACCTACCTTGTACACGGCAAAAACAACGTCCGGGTTTCCCAGGCGCACCCTGGAAAAACAGGGTATTTTTCCAGGGTGCGCCTGGGAAACCCGGACGTTGGTTTTGCCGTGTACTTTACTTTTCTGTTTATGGGGCGTTCAGTAGAGTTTTAATTAGATGACCTCTGCGGCAAATTTTTCCAATCTTTAGAAGACCCATAATTGCCATGTTCTACTTGATTTCTTAATTCCCATTTCTATGAGCAGTCATTGTCGCGCCGTATGAAAAATGGAATACTAGACACCTCAATGAACATTTTAACCACGGACATGTCATTGTAGGACGTTTTAAAATGCCAAAACTCGTAAAGACTAGAAAGTGTCCCATTTTCCCCCAAGTTTTCAGTGTCCCATTATTACCCCAACTGACCCTAAACAGGAAAACAATTGAAACCGTAAACACTTTTCTTTTTATCTCTTTTTCAGGTGCAACAGAATAAACAGCACAATCCTTGCCCGATGGATGCAGCCGAAGTGAAGAATATTTCATTGAAAGTTGCGGTGCCTGACCATATGACTTTTGAACAGCAAAGTGATAATGTAGAAGCCGAGGAATTTACGCAGACCAGTACAATTGAAATGCCAGTTGGGGTTGAGTGTGCCTTGACTCAACCACCCAACCACCTTCTGCAAAAGACTTCTGTGTTGTTCAATTTGCTCGTCGACAGTCTGTTCCTCCTTTCAGGCGTGTTTTTCGCCAAATTTTATCTGAAATGTGTGAAGCTGCTGGTAGTTCAGAGCCTGATGTGCTGTTTTCTGACGATGATGAGGACACATGCAGCTTCTGTGAATACTGGACTAGAAGGTACATTTTGTCACCTTGCTATCACGTTGCTTTGTGCATTAATTGCCTGGAAAAAGTCCACAAGTGGAACCCCACCAAGCCTGTATGCCCTGGGTGTTAAACAATATAGAGGCGTAACCTCCTGGTCACAGGGTTCACATTAACGACTTAACAGCAGGACCTGACAATTAATTCAGATTCAATGCACAGAACGGTCTTTGCACAAACCAATCTTGCTTTGTCTTTTATATTGGCTTTTTAACTATTCTTATCTATCATTATTAATTTGATATTCCTTCTTCATTTGTCAATGTGCTGATCACAAAGTAGCTTTCTCAATTAGAGCACGTTAAGAAAGTACTTTCTGTTGCCCTGCCACCACCATGGTTTCTTTAGTAACTGCTTAGCAGGCAAGGTTCTCAAGATGAGCCAGGCGGCCTGCCTTGCATGTCAGACTCAAATTGAGGGTTACCTCAATGGCTTCAGGTGCCATATTGGTGATTTGGCAAGTAAAATACAAGGTAGGTTTACGCCAGACCGCGTCTTGTCGTAACAGGCTTCGCGATGTCTCGCTGCCTGTTCCTCCAATCCGCGCCTGGCGTACCTACCTTGGCCTGCGGCGCTAGTCTGCCTTCGGCAGGCAATGGCTTGTCCATCGTCGGTTACTTCTTACTTGATGCATGCTGGGGGGCTCCGCCCCCCAGACCCCCCTTCATTCTAGATCCCTTGTGACTCATTAACTTGTCGGGGCTGGGGGGCTCCGCCCCCAGACCCCCCTTCTCTAAGGCAGAGGTAATCTGCCTGCAGAAAACTCGATTTTTCGCCGTTTTTTAGGTGTTTTTCGGCTATAAAAACTGAACCAGTTGAGCTAGGATAGTGAAATTTCGCGTGTGCCGAGCCAAGGACATGCTCAAAAAGTGTGCAAAATCTCACCGAGATCGGCCGAGCCGTTCAGGAGTAGTGCGGACACACAGACATACAGGAAAAACTTTTCAACCCCACTGGAGTAACAGGCTTCGCTATCGCTCAGCCAATTATATTGTGTTTTTAGGGGTTCCAAAGAACTTCTATTGTCCGAGCTCCGTGGATTCTTCCCCCCCTCTCCGATTTTCAAATAAACAACCTTAAACTATTTCAACCATGGAAAAAAACGAAAATTCCAATTTTTTGTCGAAAATTTATCGTGGAAATTTTCCGCAAACTAGAAAAACATAAATTTGGAACAATTGAAAACGAGAACCGTTAATGATATGAAAAAAAGGTTCAAATAAAAAATTAAAACTAAAATTCCTGGCTCATCAAAGTAACAAGAAATCGTCTGTGTTCTGAGCAAATGATTAAAACATGAAAAACAAAAATATCCATGGCAACGGCACACAGTGGGACGAAACCCGAAACAATTGTGCCGA